AAAAAAAAAAAAAAAAAAATCGTTCATCATCATATTCACCTTCAATCACGAGTCCACAAAGCAAAGAACGAAGAGAGGAAAGGAAAGCCATGGCCAACAACGAGATGAAGGATAAAATCAATAATCTCGATGTCCAGTTCCGTTGCATGAGCGAAGCTATCGATACGCTGGGTGAAGGACTCGACAATACCAAAGCGACAGTACAAGATCTGATGGAAATCGTGAATAGGCATTTTGACGAGATGGCACGCACGGTGATCGCGCGCCTACCACCGTCGCGACAAAACGATCGCGCACAGCACCACGATCGCGAGCAGGATGATGGCGAGGCACGACGGCACGAAGGGTACAAAACGCGAGGAGGATTTTGACCGACAATCCCAAGAATCTAATTATCGCGATCAACGTGCACCCGACAAGCCACGCATCACGTTATCCACATTCACGGGCAACGATCCAGATGCATGGCTCAACAAGGCAATGCAATATTTTGAGCTTCATGAAACCAACGGCCCAGATCGTGTAATGTATGCAACTTATTATCTTGATGGTGAGGCCAATGTATGGTGGCAATGGATCACTAGGATTTATCGTAAACGGCAGCATATTATCACTTGGGATGTTTTTGAAAGAGAGCTGCTTACACGATTCGGTACATCTGATTACCATAACTACAACGAGGCTCTCACACGCATAAGGCAAACAGGCAGCTTGCACGAGTATATCAGGGAATTCGAACGGTTGGCCTGTCGCGTGCGCGATTGGCCCGAAGATACATTGGTGGGAGCGTTTGTAGGAGGATTAAAATTCGACCTAGCTGCAGAGATCCGACTCGAGAGGCCTGATACCATGAACGATGCGATGGAGATTGCCCGACAGGGTGAAGATCACCTGGTGCGACGCGAAGGGTACAGGCGGATGCTCATTTCATAGATACGCGGCGCACAGGCCCAAGCCAGGCTACGACTAGCACACGGCCGAACGTCAGCACTCTGCCAGCAGGGCCGGAAGTAAGAAGGCTATCCCCCGAGAAAGTCAAACACCGACGTGAGAAAGGCCTATGTTTTAAGTGCGAAGAGAAGTTTACCCCAGGTCATCAATGCAAACAAGCCTTTGTAATTGAGGTAGCCAACTCCGACGATAAGGAAGTTGTGGTCGAGGAGGAACCACATCAGGAGGATGAGGTTGAAGCATTCAGTGAGGAGCCAGAAATCTCGATGCATGCAAAGGCTGGAATCAGAGGGCCAAGGACGATGCGACTACCAGCATGGGTCAAGGATCGTAGGGTGATGGTGCTCGTAGACAACGAGTCATCGCACAACTTCATTAATGTTGACTTGTCCCAGAAGCTGAATTTACCAACCACGAAGATTGAGCCTTTTGATGTTCGAGTAGCCAATGGTGAGAGGCTACAATGTACTGAGTCATTCCAGAAGGTGCCAATCAAATTCAACGGAGTTACTGTGAAGGCTGACCTCTATGCCTTACCTTTGGTTGGACCTAATGTCGTACTAGGAGTGCAGTGGCTCGAGGGATTAGGCAAGGTGACCACCGACTACCGAACTGGAGTTATGGAGTTCAAATCTGGAGGTCGACACGTCTCTCTGAGTGCTGACAATGAAAAAGGTACCAAGGAAGTAGGACTTAAAAGCATCGAAAGAGTTTGGCGAGGTGGAGGCCAAATCTACGCAGTAGTGGTCGAGAACGCTGAGGCACACATAAAACAGGACGAGCAACAGCAGGGAGATGTGCGCGAGCTTCTCGAAGAATTCAATACAGTATTGGGCGAGCCTAAGGGTCTACCGCCACACCGAGAATTCGATCATCGCATACCACTGATTAATGAGCAGCATGCTATACACGTCCACCCTTATAGGTACGCTCATTTTTAGAAGACTGAGATCGAACGACAAGTGGCTGAGATGCTTGAGTCTGGGTTAATTCAGCATAGTTCAAGTCCATTCTCATCACCCGTACTATTGGACAAGAAGAAAGATGGCAAATTGAGTTTTTGTACTGACTACCGAGCTCTAAATCCACGACTATCAAAGACCGATTTCTTATTCCTAGTGTCGACGACATGCTCGATGAGTTAGCTGGATCATGTTACTTCTCAAAGCTCGATATGAGAGCTGGTTATCATCAGATTCGACTCCACAGGGCTGACATACCAAAGACTGCTTTTCGTACGCATCAAGGGCACTATGAGTACTTGGTGATTCTATTCGGGCTATGTAATGCCCCCTCCACTTTCCAGTTTGCTATGAATTCCATCTTCAAGGAGTACCTCCGTAAGTTTGTTCTAGTATTCTTTCATGATATCTTAATATATTCAAAGTCGTGGGCTGAACATCTTGGGCACTTGAGAGTGGTGCTCGAAATCCTGGAGGCCAACTCATTTTACATCAAGCCGCCTAAGTGTTCATTCGGACAGAAAATGGTTGAGTATCTAGGGCATTTCATATCCCACGAGGGCGTGAAGGTTGATCCACGAAAGATTGAGGCTATGGTCGACTGGCCTGAGCCGTCAAGGCTCACACAGTTGAGAGGGTTTTTAGGACTTATTGGCTACTACAGAAAGTTCGTGAAGGATTATGGAACCATCGCCAAGCCATTGACAGAAATGACTAAGAAAGGCGGGTTCACCTGGACCGAAGCTAGCGAGGAGGCGTTTGGGAAACTGAAAGTCGCCATGACTACAACGCTAGTACTCGCCATG